CAACCTTGTGGCACAGAATATTTGGCCTCCTGATATCGACTTACACTGTATACAATACTGGGCTCCAAGCATTCAAAAGAATCCTCCACATCTGCTCATGGATAGACCTTCTATACTACTCCACATTAAATCTACTAACTGATACAGATACTGGAAACAGCTCAGGAGAAACAGAATTGCAAAGATGAAGTTCTGTAATCGGACAGTATCTAAGAGATGAGGGCACTGATTGGAAAAGAATGGTATCCTATAAACTGGGGTAGACATTTAAGAGGATCATGATGAGGCTGAGGGTGTCGATCATCTAGACTCTCATGAGATTATTTTGCCATAGGAAGAGATTTCTACACCCAAAAGGGTGAGGAATACCCATGCCCAACCCAGTGGAGTTTGCTTCTGCTACTATACCTGAGGAAATGAAACCTGTGTTGTCCAAGCATGATCACGCTGACACTATTTGGGACCAATGATCAACATCCATCTCTCTATGGCAGAATCGAATCCTAGGAAGCTTTTGTGGGTGAGGTACATACTGAGACCCATGAGAAAGTCCACGATTTTTGCAAAGAAATTCTTGAGTTTTCCAAATCTTGTAAGCACAAGAATGATGAAAACTCTGGGGATGCACAGGTTGTGCATGGAATAATGGTGGTAATGTGTACACCTGGATCAGTCCAACCTTGAAATGGGCTTCTCACAAGGTGATTCTGAACTTAATGTTGCAACTCGTATGTGAAGAATTTTTCATAGTTTATTTTACAGGATGACAAAAATATGGTCAAAATATTACCCACGGGGGCCAGGGAGATGGCTCAGTGGAATAAACACTTGCCTGGCAAGCACAAGGGCCTGAGTTCAATCCCCAGTTCCACAAAAAAAAAACAAAACAAAAAAACAAACAAACAAACAAAAAAAAAAAACCAAACCAACAACAACAAAAAAAAACCCCACTATGAATGGGTTAAAAATGCCTGGGATTTTATGGTATACTGTTGTTGAAGAGATTCAGAGATAAAGGGAATGGGGAATAACAGAATAGATTTGACATGTTAATCCTAATCCATCACACTGGAATGTTCCACAAAATGTACTCTTCATTACAACCTTAAGCAATGGATTCATGAGGACAGCACAGCACCCATGTCATGCTTTTTCTTTTCTTACACCAGACCTTACAGCAGGGACCACAGCACTGGAGAAATTCAAGGAAAATATATTGGGTTGGGTCTAGAAGTGGCAGCATTCAAGTGGTAACACAGAATTCCCAAAGCAAAGGGCATGCACTAACCAAAATGGACAGCAGAAACAGAACAGTGTTCACAATGGCCAGACACTTGTAAGCCTATGGCATTTGATTACCCAAGGTATTTTCAAAAATGAAATAAATGAGAAGTCTACAAAATTTTTACTAGATTTATAAAATAAAAAAATAAGGGCAAATGAAGACAAACTTACCTCAAACAGAAGTAACAGGAAATCACAGTACCTCATCAAATACATGAATTTGAGCCACTTTACAGACTCAGAACTGCACTGATGAAGTGGAGACCAGTCCAACTTGAGGAAGGAGCCTCACACACCAACAAAAATGTATATGGTCAATCTTTGTCTCATTCTTCTACAAAAAGGGCTAAAATCCGCACCCCCACCCCCAGAATAAGTGTACATTGAAAGTGGAATATAGGTGACCAGTAAAAGGTCAAGATGGCAAATGTAAGTTACATGAAGAGGCTCCTCAGATGCCTTCTACTTTTGTATAACCACCTGCTTCCCAACATGCACCGATGGCATCATCAGTTGTATCACATAACAAGCTGTAGAAATGAAAAAGAACAGCCACTGTTTACACAAGGCTCTGCCTGTTCTGTTAATACCACCTGAAGTTTGAAAGCTTCAGCATTATAATCCCTTTCCAGAACATCCTTGATGGACAGTTCTCTTGAAGAGAAATATGCAGCGGATAGAACTTTGAGCAATGCATTGGTTAATAAGTTACATTTTGCCTGGGAGGAAAAATGAGCAGGTATGTGACTGTATAATGACCCATGGGCTAGTTAATGGTCAGGGACTTGGAGGAACTGGAAAATTCTTCACAATATTTTGAGATGTGTGGTGTGGATTGGCCTACTTAATGGGCAAAGGATGTAAAAATAGTTGCATCACACCTAATCCTGACCCAGAAAAATTACAGCAAAGGAGAGCTTTAAAAATCAAGAGGATGAGATGGCCTGTTCTTTGGATAGTAAGCTTTTGTTAAGCCTTCCCAGTCACTAAACATGAACAGGGTAGTCATGTTGGCAGGCTCGGAGGACGTGCATTCACTGTAACATATGGATTCTCACTCCCAAAGCCTGATCTGACCACTGCTGAATGCCTAACATGCCAGCACCAGAAACAAATACCGACTCCTAAATACGACACCCTTTGCTTGGGTGATCTGTTCTTGGTGTTGGCGAATGGATTACAGTGGACAGCATCCGAAGAGAAAATGTGTACACTTTGTCCTGACATACCTATTCTTGATATGGATTTGCATTTTCTGCATGTAATGCTTCTGCCAAAAGCTCTCGTCCACAGATTTACAGGTCTTATCAACTTTAATGAAATTCCACACATTGGATCTCACACCAAGGAATACATTTGATATCCAAAGAAGTGAGGCAATGGACTTGTGCTCATGGAATTCACGGTAATACCATATTCTTCACCATCCGGAAGCATGAATGAAAATTGGCACGGTGTTTTTGAGACACAGTTGTAGCACAAGGTCGGTGGCACTAGCTTGCGGGACAGGACAAGGTTTTAGTATAAGGCTGTATGTTATTTCTTATAGCCAGCATCTGTGCTTCTAGAATTTATAGTGAAGAAATGAAGTGGTGGAAGTATGAGTGATACCACGCCCCATTACCTATAGTGATTTATAAGCAAAATTTTTGCACCCTTTTCTCCTTAACTTATACTCTCTGCTGGTTCTGAAAGAACTCTTAGTTGCAGAAAGAGTAGTGCAGCTTTCTGGTAGGCAAGTCTGGAGACGACCAGCAGAAATGGCACCTCGCAAGGGGAAGGAACAGAAGGAAGAACAGGTCATCAGCCTCGGGCCTCAGGTGGCTGAAGGAGAGAAGGTATCTGGTGTCTGTCTCATCTTTGCATCCTTCAATGATACTTTCGTCCATGTCACTGATCTCTCTGGCAAGGAAACCATTTGTCGTGTGACTGGTGGGATGAAGGTAAAGGCTGATCGAGATGAATCCTCCCCATATGCTGCCAAGTTGGCTGCCCAGGACCTGGCCCAGAGGTGCAAGGAGTTGGGCATCACTGTCCTGCATATCAAACTCCAGGCCACAGGAGGAAACAGGACTAAGACCCCTGGACCTGTTGCACTTGCTTGCTCGGGAATGAAGATTGGGAGGATTGAGGATGTCACTCCCATCCCCTCCGACAGCACCCGCAGGAAGGGAGGTCGCCGTCTGTGAACAAGGCTCGAATTGGTTTCTGTTAATAAATTACCTTCATGTAAAAAAAAAAAGAAGAAAAAAGAGTAGTGCAAGTATCAGGAAGCACAACCATGGCATCATTGAGCTGGAAGTGAAGACGTCACTTTGTCATTTTAGTCAGCTTCTGACTCTGAGGAGAACAAGCTGGAAAGAGCACTAGCTTTGAGAGAAGTAATTAAACCAGAATGTCATGAGAAAATTAAACTATTACTCCAAAAACAGAGGAAACAAAAAATAAAGTTAGCATGCAGGAAGCCTTCGGGTATTGGCTAGTATTAACATGCCTTCTGATTAAAGGGGAAGCTCTAACAACCCAATCCTGGCAGAATGTCCAGAATTTTGACTAATAAAGGTGTGGGTCACAATACCAAGGAAAGAACGAAAACCAGATACATCACCTCCTCAATGCCAAGGAAATACAGCACGGGTAGTACACCTTAGCTCTAAACACAAGTTATGACCCATGATCAGCTATAGAAATGAGGATTATAGCACTACAGCCCTTTCTTAATATGCTTCTATTATAGTATAATATTGATACTTAATAGTCTAAATCTTGTTCATCACCCAAAGAAAAATTTGCTTCAATTGTGGGGAAGGAATTGGTGTATTTCCATTTGAATACAGGAGTTATAACCTGTTAGGTATATTAATGAGCTCCTCTTTTTATCTAGAGATATTGTTTAAAGAAATGTGTGTGGGAGTAAAGCTGGCAAAGGGTGGATTGTGATAGTTAACCAATTATGTCAACTTGAGTACTATATGTTCAACTAAATTTTTCTCACAAAGTTCTGGGTGTGGAAAATCAACCAAAAGCATTATTGCCAGTATAAGAAACAAAAAAGTAAGACTGTTCTGTTCCTAAAGAGGAACTTCCAATATTCACCCTCACTTCTGGTCTCCAGTATAGACGCTTCAGTCTCCAACTTGGACAAATCAGTCTCCTTGCACAGACTCTCTGGCCTCTGATAGATTTGCCTGGGACACTACAATGGACTCTAGGCCTTCGGTTGGATTTTTCAGAAATTCAGTTTACAAACAAAACTTTTGATCACTTGCACATCTAATTGCTTGTGTATCTGTTGCAATTATATCTTGTAAATTCTTATATATGTATATATCTTACATTAATTCTGTGTCTCTAGTAGGTACTGAGTTATACATTACTATGATTTATGACATCCTATTATACACAATCCGTGGTCTACCTGACCTGTCAACAATGAGACACTCAAAGCAGCATGGTTTATTTTTTGGTACAAGAGATAGTAAAATTAATGCAAAACTGTAAGTCATACCAAATTAGCATGAAGAGTTACATGGTGATGGTAAGAAAGTTTATATAAATCATAATATTAACCTCAACATGAAAATAAAATAGGTAGATTTATACACTTGATATAATTGTTTTGATCTATGCAGGTATCTTGTTAGGATACAAAAAATGAAACATTTGTTAATCTACAAGTTGTGAAAAGAAATGAATTTTTCAAAAAAATTTAACAGAATATTCAAAAATAGCTTTTTTACATAAAATATGAAATATATGTACTAGAAAAAGTAAAGTCAATGCTAGTGGGAAATCCTATCAAATAATAAACAATGAATAAAAGTTATTTTTAGTAGCCTATACCTCCCCATAATAAAAACAAAATTAAACTACACAGTAATACTATTTGCAACTGAGAAATACACTTCATTAGAAGATAGTATATATTGAATTTAAAGACAATGGCTTCCACAAAAATCTATTATGTTGATGTTTTTATAGTAAAAACTACAGGTACATAAGTCACATATCTACAAGAGATTTACAAAAAGATCCAGAAAGAATACATTCTGGGATAACTCCACTGGGGACTGTATTTTCCAGAAAATTTATGAGGCAATATTGACATCAAATTTCTCATTAAAATTGTACATGCTTCTACTACATTACAAATTTTTCCACGATTTTTCAAAACAGCTTGAATACACAAGGTTTCTCCCTAGTGTGATGTCTTTCATGAAGTTGATAAAAACTGCTTATTACGTATTTTCCCTACATTGTATATACACAGAGTTCCAAATCAATGAGCTCTACGCAGAAGAGGACTCATCAAATCTTTTCCACATAGTTGACTTACCTCTAAGTTCATGTCTTTGACAATGGTCTTGTGCAGGACACTCCTCCCCACATTCACACAAAAGGTTTCTCCCAAGTAGGAGTAAACTTCAGGTCTTTGATAATATCTGTGCTATGAATCCCTTTCCTCCTGTCTGAACTAATAAGGTTTCTCCCTAGCATGGGCTCTTTCATGAATGTGCCGATAATGATGTGTGGCGAATGCCTTCCCATTGTTTACATGCACAGGGTTTCTCCTCTCTGTGAATTCTTTCATGGACTTTTTAACACATCTGTCTAATTAAGGCTTTTGCACATTTCTCACATATACAGTTTCTTACAAATGTGCTCCCATTCATGTACTTTTGTAATTCTGTAGTTACATACTTCACCTCACTGCTTACACGTATAGGCTTTCTTTCAGTATGGGTTTATGTCTATCAGTTTTGAGCAAGTCCTTTTCCATATTGCTTACATAGTCTCTCCTGAGTGTGACCTCTTTCATATACTTTATAATAGCTCAGTTTAGTGAAAGTTTTTCTACATTTCTCACATACAGTTTCTTGCCAGTGTGATTTCTTTCATGTACTTTACAATAACTCATTGTGGTGAATGCTTTCCCACACTGCTTACACATAAAAGGTTTCTCACCTGTGTGAGTTCGTTTATGTCTATTAAATACAGACTTTTCAGCAAATCCTTTTCCACATTGCTTACATACGTAGGGTCTTTCCCCACTGTGAGTTTTTTGATGCATTTTACAATAATTTAGTGAAGTGAATGCTTTTCCACATTTTTCACATAGATAGGCTTTCTCACCTGTGTGGATTCGTTTATGTCTATTAAATACAGACTTATCAGCAAACCCTTTTCCACAGTCATTACATATGTAGGGTCTCTCTCCAGTGTGAATTCTCTCATGTATTTTACAATAACTCAGTGTACTGAATGCTTTTCCACATGTCTCACATATATACATTTTCTTGCCAGTGTGATTACTTTCATGCATTTTACAATAACTGAGTGTAGTGAATGCTTTTCCACAATGCTTACATGCATAAGGTTTCTCCCCAGTGTGACTTCTTTCATGCTTTTTACAATTACTCAGTGTAGTGAATGCCTTCCCACACTGCTTACATACATAGTTTTTCTCACCTGTGTGGATTCGTTTATGTCTGCGAAATACAGACCTATCAACAAATCCTCTTCCACATTTCTCACACATATATGCCGCCTCCCCACTGTGAGTTCTTTCATGTATTCTACAATAACCCTGTGTAGTAAATGCTTTCCCACATTGCTTACATACATAGGGTTTCTCCCCACTGTGACTTCTTTCATGTTTTTTACAATTACTGAATGTAAAGAATGCTTTCCCACATTGCTTACACACATAGCCTTTCACACCTGTGTGCATTCGTTTATGCCTGTAAAATACAGACTTATCAACAAATCCTTTTCCACATATCTTACATATATAGGGTTTCTCACCAGTGTGACCTCTCTCATGTATTTTACAGTAACTCAGTGTAGTGAATGCTTTTCCACATTTCTCACATACATACAATTTCTCACCAGTGTGACTTCCTTCATGAATTTTACAATAGCTCAATGTAGTATATGTTTTTCCACATAGCTTACATGCGTAAGGTTTCTCCCCGTTGTGACTTCTTTCATGTTTTTTACGATTACTAACTGTAGTGAATGCTTTTCCACATTGCTTACAAGCGTAAGGTTTCTCCCCAGTGTGAATTCTTTCATGTATTTTACAACACATCTGTCTAGTGAATGCTTTCCCACATTTCTCACACCTATATGGTCTCTCACCAGTGTGAGTTCTTTCATGTATTTTACAATAACTCAGTGTACTGAATGCTTTCCCACACTGCTTACATCTGTAGGCTTTTTCACCTGTGTGGGTTCGTTTATGTCTATGCAACGCAGACTTGTAAGTAAATATTTTCCCACATTGCTTACATATATAGGGTGTCTTCCCAATATGAATTCTGTCATGGATTTTAACACCATTTGGAATGCTGGAGGCTTTCACTGTTTTCTTACACACAAATGTCTCCACTCCCAGGCGAGTTCTTTCTTTAAGGTCATAGGTTTTCCCACATTGCTCAAATTGATAGGATTTCCTTTCAGACTTTGTTCTTGCATGCTTCTGAAAGGACTGGAAATCACTGCAGGTTTTGTCACGTTCATTGCAATTATACAGCTTCTCATCAAATCCCACATACTCACGTGACTTCAGTCCAGTGTGAGGTAAAATGAACATGTTTAATGATGAATGCCCAGTCAGGGGCTTTCTACAAGCAAGGCTATCAACTATCTTCAGAGCAGCCTGTTGTATCTCCACATGCTCACTGGAAGTCCTAAGGGATATTTTTCCATGCTGATCCCAAGCTTTATTTTGAGAGAATTTCACTAATTCTTCTCTTCTTTAAAGAAAACAAAAAATTGTTATTAATCATAAGAAGAAAATTCTCCATATCGATAATTCACCAGGCCAAGTTCTGGCTTGATGCTAAGAAATTTTGAGAAAGAAAACCTAAATGCCATGGAGAAGGGTCAGGGAGATAGCTCAATGGAACAAGTGCTTGCTTGGCAAGCGTAAGGTCCTGAGTTCAATCCCTGGTACCACCACAATGAATAAATAAATGCCATGAAGGCTTCTTCAAAAGGAGGAATTTTCCCATTTCCCAAAGTATCTCATTTATTTCAGAATTTATTTATTTATTTTATGTATTTAGTACAGAGTGTACAAGGTTTACAGGGTCTCACTACGTAGATCGGGCTCATAGTGATTCTCCTGTTTACAGCCTCCCAAGCCCTGGCGTTACAGATGCACACCACTACGCCCAGTCTTGATTGCAGTCTCAGTGTGCCCTGGGAACGGGGCTGGCACAGCACGCCAGGGATCGAACCCAGCTGCTGTGCTCTACCTAAGCAGGCACTTTAGTGAGCTGAGCTATCTGGCTGGCCTTTATTTTTGAATTTCAATAGATATATGTTTACAATACGTAAGGCCAAGTTCCATTTACATCACTAATACATATATGTAACACATATTGATCATTTCTGACACCTTTTCCCACATCTCTTTCCTCTCGTCTCCTTACTCTGGTCATCTGTTCTATCTCCAGAAAATTAGCCTTTCTGTTCTCTATCTCTTCTCCATAATTTATATTTTTATATTTCATACAGAAGAAAAAAGTCATGAATATTCACTTTGTATGTCTGATTTATGTCATTTAACATTATGAGATACAATACCTTCTACTTATTTTTATTTTTGGAAAGATATTCTTCATAGCGGAATAGCATGTATTTGTCATTGCTAAGAATTAAACAAGAGTCTTAGCAATAAATTACTCACCTAGAATTTTTTTTTCATTATTATTATTATTCTGAGTGAGTCTCATCTCTCATTCATTTGGAGTTCTGGGATTGTGAGAAGCAAACACTAGGTTCAGCCTATGCTACATTCCCTTTATCCACGCATAAATAATCTCTGTTCCAAGAGATTAGGAATTATGATTTCTGAAACTAGCTATTATGCACACCTATGAATACGCTGCTCTAAGCATGAGTACGCATGTCACTAAGATAGATTACTTTTAAATCCTTTCCAAATATACTTAGGGAAGCTCACCTGCATGAAATACAAATTTCAATTTTTACTTTTTTGAAATGTCTCTACAGTGACAAAGTGGTTCTATTTCTTATTCATACCAACAAAATACGAGGGTGCCTTCTACGAATTTTAAATTCCAATTCTATAAAGCGTGTTTTCTCTTTTCTGGGATCATAATACATATATACATAAACAGGTATCTTGAACATAAGCTCCTTTCGAATTATAAAATTTATTCTTTTTATATATGCCTACACAAAATTGATAAATGAAATTTCGCCGATTTTCATGATGTTGATCACAAAAGAATTTTTTTTAAATGATGTAGGAGATAGTGTCTCTTGTTGCATAACATCACTTATAACTTGGTTTGTTAGATTGGAATATTTCTGTATTTAAGGGTCAGATTATTAAAAAGAAAAAAATTAACCTGGAAAATTTTTATGAGAAGAGACAAATATAATTATGGACTCATTTGTAGAATTCCTTTGCTTGTAACATTTCTGTTCACATACTGACTCAGGCAATATAACTTTTACTTATAAATGCAAATTACCTTAGATTTCTTGAGCAATTTTTGTATTCTTCAATTTGCTGTTTTCTAAAGCTTCTTCCTAAATAACCAAAGAAATACAAAAAGTCACTGTATCATTGCATAGAAATTAGCACATAGCAGTTTGATTCACGATATAATGTAAACAGGCCTAAGGCAGTCTTCAAAATGTTTTCACATTCTATTTAATGAATCTACACCAATCAGCAAGAACCAGAGCTCTCTCACTGTGCACATGAGCAAATGTCATCCTTACCTACAGCAGTCACATTCATAAATGTTTCCCACATCACTTCTCTGTAGAGCTTCTTCTGAGATGGATTCAGCACAGCCCACTCCTCCATGGTGAAGTTCACAAGCACATCCTCCATGGTCACTGCCTCCTAAATAATCACATGTACATATTCTAAAAGAAGGTTCAGAGTCACACCTCACATAGCTGAACTCCTCCTGTAAAAGCTGAATTGAAGCCAATCCATTCAAACATTGACTTCATGCCCTGGGGACCAAGCATATACACATATTTCACACAATTGTGATGCTAGATTCAAAGTCACTCCTACAGCAACAGCAGAATAGCTAAACTGGCAGCCCATCAGGGTCACAGAAATTTTATTCATGCAGTTTCTAGAGCAGAGCTCATAGAGGGTGCCCGGAAACCATCATCCACAAAATACAGGGGCGGATTACTATCAAATGAATGGTTCTGATAGACCACAGATGATACTGTTTTCAAATCAAATTCCTCATACAATTAAGTCATTCTTTCTTGGATGGTCTCTGGCTATCTTGTGAAAGTTCAGTCTGGTTTCAGAGAAAAAAAAACCCACAACAATCCAACATTAAATAAAAGTTTATGGATAATAATAAAAATGCTAATGGAAAAGTAATATTATTAGGGCAAATCTGTGGAACATCAAAACAGTGGAAATATGGAATATTGTAGCTCAATGACACCAAATGAGAATCTAAAGGAGTTTTATGTGGGAATGAACAACAATAAAATACTTTGGACACATTAAAAATGAAGATATCACAGGTCAACTAGGCACCACTTACAAAATGAAACTTCATCTAGTTGTGGTGGTAATCCTGTGCCTATAATATAATCCCAGTACTTGAAGGGTCAGGGAGATGGCTCAGTGGAATAAGCACTTCCTTGGCAAGTGCAAGGGCCTGAGTTCAATCCCTGGTTCCATAAAAAAACCAACAAAATAATCCCAGTACTTGGGAGGCTGATATAGGAGGATTACCTTGAATTTGAGGATCGGTATAAATTTCAAGGTTAGCTTCAGCTATGTAGTAACTTCAAGGCAGTCAAGATTATGAGACTCTATGTCAAACTCCTCTCAAAATGTCAAACTTGGGGACCATCTGCTCGGGGCCCCTCTTCTGTGCCTCTCTCAGACAGAAGTTTTCTTTCCCCCAATAAATATTCTGCTGAGAAAAAGTCAAACTCCCTTGTACTACATAAATTTTTTTAAAAAGCCAAACCTAAAGAAAATACTGTATCACTAAAAACACCTTTCACCTTTTCAAAAAATTATACATGTGCAGTATAATAGAAGATTGACAATGACTGTTGAGCAAGATGACAGTTTGCACAATATACACTAAAGACATTAATATTCGCCCTTCATTACAATGTAAGTGTAGGAAAGAGAATGACTAATGGATCTTATGCAAGGAAGAAAGCCTTCTGTGGCTCCTCAGGTAAACAGAATACTGCTTCATGGGGCCAGGGAGATGGCTCAGTAGAATAAGCACTTCCCTGGCAAGCGCAAGGGCCTGAGTTCAATCCCCGGTTCCACACAAATAAAAAAAAAAAAAAAAAAAAAAAAAAAGAAAAAAGAAAATGCTGTCAGGAACAGAATACTGCTTCATGATCCAGCTGGTTTAAACATCTCTGTAAAAAAATCTCAATAAGTTTCATTAATATTCAGGAAGAAACTGGGAAATCTGGATTGTACACCCTTCTAATCTTTGTACATAAAGTACATATTGAAATGGGAGATGCATTTGAATTCTTTTGGACTTTATAGCAAGATAACTTTTAGATATGAAGGAAGAAGAAAATCAGGAAGTCATCAGCATTAGGAGATACTGAAGCCAGGTGTGGTTGCACATTCCTGTAATCTGAGTACTTGGAAGGCTGACTCTGGTAGATCACAGTGAACTTGAACTAATATAGCAAGGTGCTGCCTCAGAGAGAGAGAGAGAGAGAGAGAGAGAGAGAGAGAGAGAGAGAGAGAGACAGACAGACAGACAGACAGACAGATAATGAAGTTCATGAAAGCCATGGAAAATTTAAAAATGAAATAAAGCTTTTGCTGTGTATACAATTCCAAGATTCTGTATACACAGAAAAGATCAATGAACACAGATCAAAAACATAAACTGTAAAATATCTGACTGGAAGAAACACAGAATACAAATTCCACTGCTGAGCTTTAACAGATGGAAATTTTAACAGTGAGTTTCCATCTCCCTTCAGAAACAATGGGTATAATTAGAAAACCAATCAATAAGAAATACTGCTCGCGCTGTAAAAAGGGAACACTTCTCCACTCTCGTTTGGAGCATAGAGTGGGACAACAATTGTGAAATCAGTGTGGAATTTTCTCAGAAAACTAGGACAAAAAAGAAGAAAATTGGACAAGAAGTTTTTTTTTTTTCTTTTTTAGGGTACAACAGCAGGTTCTGTTCCGGTTTCTCAAAGCATGGGATGGGGTGGAGACGGGAAAAAATGTAAACATTGGGTTCCACCCTGCAGCTCAAGAGAAGACTCTTCACTCCAACAGGGGCATAAGGGTTAGAAGGAAATGAGATGAAAGGTGGGGATCCTGTTGAGATAAAGCAGAAGCGGCCTGAGAATATAGAACATGATGGATGAGGAAAGAGACCAGGACAAGCGGGGAGGAGTGGGGCATATTTCTTATCTCAGTGCATGTCCCCTTAAATAAAGTAGAGTACAGGCACAGTGAAGAATCAAGACAGAGGACAGAGCAAGCTCCCCACCCTGGAACAGCCTGGTCCTCTATACATAATTACAACACAGAGATGTCCAGAAGGAGGTCGAGGACAGCCTTGGTCCTCAGGAAGGGGAGGTGGCAGGAAGGGCCAAAGAGGGAAAAGGAACCCAGCTCCACCTGTGGATATGGGGAGCCACTGGAGTGTAAGAATCTGCAAACTGCCCATGGCCAAGAGTCACCTGGTGACCAGGGGCCAATCAGGACAGCACCTGGGAGGGGACCCCAGTGGGAACTGACAGGAATAACAAAGACCCCAGCTGGGCGGGCCTAACTGGAGGCAGGAGGCTCCAGAGTCAGTCACAGCCGCCCCAAGAACTGTGGCTGGCCTGGTCATGAAGGGAGCAGCAGCTGGCAAGGAGATGGGGAATCAGCCACTTTCCTTAGAAAGAGGGACACCTGCCAGGGGAGTGCCTGGGCCAGGCCTGCTCTTGGCTGAGGGAGGAAGTCGCCATGCAGTCTAGCCCCATGCAAAGGTCAGAAATAAGCGTCGTGCTGGGCCTCAGCTGCTGAGGACCGATCCCCACCGTCATGGGGGGCTGGGGGCGCATCTGCCTTTCGCCGCAAGGAAAGCTTGCAGCCTTGGCCCTTCTGCTTCTGCTGCTCCTTCTCCTGCTTCTGCTGTTCTTTCTCTTGCTCTTTTTCCCACTTCTGTTGTTCTTTCTCTTGCCTCTCCCACTCTTTCTCCTGTTTCTGCCACTCCTGCTGTAGCCGGGCCTAATTACTGGAAGCTGGAGCGGTGCTGTTGCCAGTAGGTGAGGGCAGAGATGGGTGCAGTCCCTCAGCAGTGACCACAGACCCTGGGGCAGGACCAGCGCTGATTCTCGGCAGGAGGGGGTGGGGCGAAGGTCCCTCCAGCTTTCTGAGGCTGGAGGAGGGGCCCAGGGGCCGCCGCTCTTCATGAATAGCCCGGGATCTAGGTAGTTGCCCTGAGAGCCGATGCTGCAGTTCTCCCCAGGGTTTTCCTTTCTGCCCTTCCTCAGCTGGGCTGTATTCTCTCGCTCAATCAAGGCCTCTGTCACTGGAAGGTTGGTTACCTCATGTATCAGGAAGTCCTCCTGCTTGCACTGTTGGGGCAGGTTTCTCAGCTGCTCCATGGTTTCATACATGCCTTAGCAGGAACACAGTTTCTCCACCGACCCCAAGGTGTATCGTAGCAAGACCAGGGCCACCCGGAAGACGATCTTAACACCTTCACAGAAAAACATTTCCTAGACACGCAGCACTGAGGCCCAGGCAGGGTGTGGGCAAAGATGCACATGAACCATTATGTCATATAGAGCACAGGGTTGATGCGCTGCCGCCTCAGGTGCCCATGTGCTGCAAGAGTGCAAAAAAGATTTCTCCATCCAGCTGAATGGCCTCCAGCCCTGCACTGCAGTAACCTGGGAGGTACTTGTCACAGATCTGTACCAGGCACCAAAAGGCTTGCTCAGCAGGCATGTGCACGAGCGGCACTGCGGCCACTGGGGCCTGGGCCTGGCAGTAGCCCTTGTCAGGCTGGTAGATGGTGTAGGCTGTAAGGATGCGGTACAGGTCCTGCTGCACAAGCCCTCCTCGAGCAGCAAACATCTCATGGAAAGGGAACTGGCGGTGCAGGTCCTTCTCAATTATATCCAGCCACTTGTGATCCCTGGGAGCCCGTTACAGCTCCTCAAACTTGCCAGGATTTTGCTCTAGAAGTTCCTTACTATTAGACAGGTACTGCCAGGCCTTGGCTCTGAGGGACAAGGGGGTCCTCTTCCAGCAGCATAGCTTCACCTTCTGGAAACGCCATGACAGCCATTTATCCCGGTTACTGAATATCTCCAACCACTTCAGCTCTCGCTGCCAAGCCACATCCACTGGAATGGAGCTCTCTAGGCTCCCCGAATACTGGCTGCCCCCAAGGAAGCCATACCTGTCCATCTTGCGCAGGGCCAGCCCGTTTATCTCTTGAGTCTGAGCGCATGGAGCTCACATCATCTGCCAGGGATTCCAAGGTCCCTGACGTGAGGCTCATTGAGTCCAAGTAGATCAGCGTGTCTGCAGCCTGGCTTCGAGGCCCAGAGATGCCAGGTCCCAAGCTGGACGTGGAGCCCAGGACTTGAGAGGCTGGGGTCACCGTGAGGACCGCTACCGGAGCCTCACTTGCCCCAGAAGCTCCTGTGCCAGGCCCTGCAGGGTTCTCATAAGCCTGTCCTGTTGACGCTGATGTGGCTGCTGCAGTTCCATGTCCGCTTGTCACTTGTCCTGCTGCAGCCTGTGCAGTCCCTCCTGAGCCTGCTGCGACTCCAGGCTTGGGGGCGAGTGGAGGTTTGGCGGTAAGGGCCCCTGGCGCCGTTCTGGAAGGGGTCCTGGTGGGCGTTGCGCCT